ATTCATTTATATATTTCTATTTATAATTTATATACACACACATTTTTGAGTGCCATCTCTCTGCCACCCAGGCTAGAGCTCAGCGACATGATTATGGCTCAACCTATGGGTTCAGGAAATTCTTCCCCTAATACACGTGAGAAACTCAGGATAACATACATACACTACACCACACCGAAAAAAAATTTGTCATTTTTTATAGCTATGAGTTGCCCATCCTACTCTGAAACCTCTGTGTTCAAGACGTTCTCCAACCTCACACAGAGTATTGGGAATACAGTCCTGAGTCACCATGCCTTGCCCTCCCTGCTTTTAGGTGTTTTCTTTTGTGGTATCATGCAGTTTGACTAATATTGCTTTTAATACGGTTTTATTTTTCTATTTTTGAGACATTAATTTGAAATTTAGGAATTTATGTCTGGTTATTTTACAAACTCATGTATCAACAAATCTTTGGACATGACCTTTTATGTTTATTTTTTCACATATTTTACTCAAACCACTACATAAATGTTTGGGAAATGTTTCATATTTTACATTCAAGTGACCATTTATGTAGAACTGTAACCATAATTTTTATCACTTGAACTTTGACACTTTGAGTATATAAATTGTGCTCAATATTTCCACACAATAGTACAGTTATCAGCTCAATCTAATTTTATATTTGTCTTACATTTAATGTTGATTTATTATATTCATAACTGTGTTGACTTGGCTGTTTTCCAAAAAGGACTAGTCAAGATTATACTGTCTTGTTATTTCCACATCTATTTTTCTCACTGTACTGTTAGCCCATGAAGAACATGGGTTTGACCTGCATAGGTCCACGTTTTTTCAACAAATACACTGAAATTTCTTTTTTGAAATTTGTGATCATTTTAAAAAAATGCACAGTACCACAGTTTACAAATATACTTTAGCCGGGCTCAGTGGCTCAGCTTGTAATCCCACGCCTTTGGGAGGCTGAGGTGAGTGGATTGCCTGAGCCCATGGGTTTGAGACCCACTTGGGTAGTGAGACCTCATCTCTACAATAAACCAAAAAAAATCAGCCAGGTGTGGTAGCACAAGCCTGTAATTCTGGCCACATGGAAAGCTGAGGCAGAAGGATTGCCAGAGCCCAGCAGATCGAGGCTGCGGTGGTCTGGGAAACAGAGACTCCAACTCAAAAAAGAAATATACTTTAAAAATGTCATGAGGACATCAGATAGAAGTATATTCTTGTCTATGTTGACATTTACTCTCATAAAGATATAAAGACCTATCATACAAAGGTAAACATAATTTATGCACTTACAGGGTATACATGGCACCATCAGCAGTTGGAAAATGTGTAAATAAATGTAAAGCTGCAGTATTAACTCATAACAGCAAAAAATTAGCTATGACACAAAGTGTATCATTCAATAATTTTGTGACCACTTCCTGCTGCCAGGTGATTAATACAAGTGTTGTGAGATTCTGTTTCACACACCATGTGATGTTAATGTTTCCATATGAGCATTTGATCTCTCCAGAGTGAACCAAGGAAATTGTATTTATGGTAAAACAGTGGAAAGGGAAGGGTATCAAGAAATAAATGTTGAAGATATTCCAGACCCCAGAACCCACAACACAGGAGTTAGAGGCAGATGACTTGAGGGTACAAGTGCTTCCAACACAGCACCAGATGACTAGAAAGGAAACAAGAGATTGGGCATGGTGACTCATGCCTATAATTCCAGCACTTTGGGAGGCAAAGTACAGCAGACTGTTTTAGTCTAAGGCTTCCAGGCCAGCCTGAGCAACTTGGTGAGACCTTATCTTAACAATGAATTCATTTGTTGGCTGGGCATGATGGCAAACATTTGTGACACCAGCTACTCAGTAGGCTAAAGGAGAAAGACAGCCTGATACCATCACGTTGAGGCTGCAGTGACCATGGATTTTCCACTGTATTCCAGTCCGGGCATCAGAGTCAAAATCCAACCTAATATATAAGTATTTACAACAGTCAGGATTCAGAAAGTTAGGTCTTATAATTATACTCCTGTATTATTACAATAATCAAAATGACACATAACTAAAAAAAGAAAACAGGAAGAAAATATGACCTATAAAAAAAGGATCACTGGAAACATCCTTCCATAAGTTACTCAATAGTATATAGTCATCATATACCTACAATCTTGGGTAAGATAGAATAGAATGACACTTATGACAACATAACAATTTATTGTGTGCACAACAAATGTTAAATACTTTATAAACAATTCTGTTCATTAAAGCAAACAAATTTACATAGCCTAAATAAACCTTCAAATTTCACTGTATGCAGAACCAGATTACAAATATTCAAGCATTTCTGTTCTTTTGATATTGTGATCCATGTGCGAAGAGCTTTCTTCAGTTTTAAAAACTGAATCTGATTATTTACTAAACATAAACTTATATACATTTTAAGAGAATAATTATCTTTGCTCTGATGTCTATGAAAATATTTATTTATATTATATCAAATTACACTGATGGCATGTAAGTATTAATAGTATGAAGATGCATCAAGATATTAATGTTCTGGCCTCATTTTCTCATTTGCATGTAAGTAGTAAGACAAATGATTTCTAAAACTCTCAATGATTCTTTGTCATTTATTTCCAAAGAAAAATGTTATCCTGAGCACTCACCTCATTCCGAACTTACAATAATGCTTAACGTGAGCCACAAAAAAACTTCTTTAGTTCGATCTTTTAAAGGAGATTACATATCAGTGTTCTTCATACTCCACAAAAAACATGAGATAAGAGCTGATGACCTACTATACAGGGACATTTCATAGCTCTAACGTACCAACAACTGACCCCATGCCTTTACATAAACACTATGAATGAAGGCATAGCATCATGTGAATTGCATTACATCAATATTGTGTGCTTTTTGAAATATCCTCAAATTCTGTCAATGCAAAACCAAAATTATACAGAGAATATACTTATGCTTTCCTAAAAAACAAACAACAAACCATCTTCTAATGCCACTCAATATTTGATATTTATTTCAACTTGACCTTTCAGTAAATGAGCTTCCATATAAATTGCATCTGTAACGTTTTCAGTCTGAATACCCTAGTATTTCCAATGGCATATATTTTGAACAAAGGCAAGACCACATTCTTTAAATTTGTAGATTCTCTACAATGCACAGTCTAATGTCAAATAAAGTTTTTGCTGGTTACTGTCTTTAGATATGTTTTACATTTATACAGTCAAAAGATCTGTGGTTTGAGTAAAGATAATGGTACTCTTTATAACTGTAAATTTCTCACCAAGTCTCTATTGTTTATATCTCATATATAATTTTCCAGTCATTAGAGATACTGAAAGTTTAAAGTATAAATTGATGTTGAGAAAACTTGGAATAACAGTGAAAGGTTTACCCCATTCTGCCCATCTATAGGGAATCCCGAAATATAGATGCTCATATGTCAACCAAATATTGAATGAGAGCTAAAAGGTTTATCTCATTCCTCTCATTTTATATAGTTTCATCTCAGTATGGACTCTCATATGTCCAGCTAGTTGTAGATGAGAGCAAAGGGCTTACCATGTTTTTCACATTTGTAGAGTTTCCAGTATGGATGATTATGTGTCCAGTAAATCCATTGTGCGAGTGAATGGCTATGTCACATTCTTCACATTTGTAGGGTTTTTCTCCAGTATCAACAGACTTATGTTCAGTAAATACTTTAGGAGAGCAAAAATCTTTGCCACATTCTTCACGTTTGTAGAGTTTCTCTCCATCATGGCACCTCATATGAATTGCAAATCATTTGAGAGCAAAAGGCTTTGCCATATTCCTCATGTTTGTAGGATTTCTCTCCACTATGGATGGTCTTGTGTCCAGCAAATAATTTATGAGTATGAAAAGTTTTGCCACACCTTTCACATTTGTAAGATTTCTCAACAGCATGGATCTTGACATGTCAAGCAAGTAGTGAATGAGAGTGAAGAGTTTTTCTGCATATTTCACATTTGTAGTGTTTTTCTCCTGCATGGATGGTCATGTGTCCAGCAAATCCGTTGTGAAAGTGAAAGGCTTTGCCATATTCTTTACACTTGTAGGATTTCTCCCCAGTATGGATGGTCTTATGTCCAGCAAATCCTTAATAGAGTGAAAGGCTTTGCCACACTCTTCACATTTGTAGTTTGTCTTTCTCTTCAGTATCGATGGTCTTACGTCCAGTGAATCCTCCATGAGTACAAAAAGCTGTGCCACACTTTTCACATGTGTAGGGTTTCTCAACAGTATGGGTCTTGCCATGTTGAGCAAGTAGTCAATGGGAGTGAAAAACTTTTCAATATATTTCACATTTGTAGAGTTTCTCTCCAGTATGGATTGTCTTATGTCCAGCAAATCCATTGTGAGAGCAAAAGGCATTTCCACATTCTTCACACTTATGGTTTCTACCCAATATGCACCTTCATATCTCCAGCAAGCTTGGCCACATTCCTCATATTTGTAGGATTTCTCCCCAGTACACATGGTCTTATGTCTAGCAAATCCTACATGAAAGTGAAAGGCCTTGCCACATCTTCACATTTGTAGGGCTTTTTCGCCCAGTATGGATGGTCTTATGTAAAGCAAATCCAAAGTGAGAGTGAAAGGATTTGCCACATTCTTGACATTTGTAGGGTTTCTCTCCACAATGCACCTTGATATATCCAGCAAGCATTGAATGGGAGCAAAAAGCTTTGCCACATTCTTCACATTTATAAAATTTCTCCGCAGTACGCATGGTCTTATGTCGAGAAAATCCAGAGAGTGAAAGACCTTACCACATTACTCACATTTGTAGGGTTTCTCTCCAGTATGGATATTCTGATGTTCAATAAGCTTCAAGCACTGAGTAAAGCATTTGCCACCTTCTGCACATTTTTAGGGTTCCACTCCAGTATCGATGGTCTTATGGCCAGCAAATCCTCCTCGAGAGTGAAAGTCTTTGCCACATTCTTCACATCTCTAGGGTTTCTCCCCAGAATGGATGGTCTTATGGCCAGAAAATCCTCCTCTAGAGCGAAAGGCTTTGCCACATTCTTCACATTTGTAGGGTTTCTCTCCAGTATGGATCATTGTATGTTGAGTAAGTTGTGAATGAGAGTGAAAGGCTTTGCCACATTCTTCACATTTGAAGGGTTTCTCTCCATTATGGATCACTGTATGTTGATTAAGGTTTGAACGAGAGTGAAAGGTTTTGCCACATTCTTCACATTTGTAGCGTTTCACTCCAGTATGGATCACTGTATGTTTATTATGGTTTGAACAAGAGTGAAAGGCTTTGCCACATTCTGCACATTTATAGGGTTTCTCTCCAGTATGGATCATTGTATGTTGAGTAAGGGATGAATGACAGTGAAAGGCTTTGCCACACTCTTCACATTTGTAGGGTTTCTCTCCAGTATGAATCACTGTATGTCGAGTAAGATTTGAACGGGAGATAAAGGCTTTGCCACATTCTGGACATTTGTAGGGTTTCTGTCCAGTATGAATAGTCTTATGTCCAGCAAATTCTCCTTGAGAGCGAAAGGCTTTGCCACATTCTTCACATTTGTAGGGTTTCTCTCCAGTATGGATCATTGTATGTCGAGTAAGGAGTGAACAAGTTTGAAAGGCTTTGCCACATTCTTCACATTTGTAGGGTTTCTCTCCAGTATGGATCATCATATGTCGAGTAAGGCGTGAACGAGTGTGAAAGGCTTTGCCACATTCTTCACATTTGTAGCATTTAACTCCACTATGGATCACTGTATGTTGAGTAAGATGTGAACGAGAGGGAAAGGCTTTGCCACATTCTTCACATTTGTAGCGTTTAACTCCACTATGGATCACTGTATGTTGAGTAAGATTTGAACGAGAGTGAAAGGCTTTGCCACATTCTTCACATTTGTAGGGTTTCTCTCCAGTATGGATCATTGTATGTCGAGTATGAGTGAACGAGAGTGAAAGGTTTTGCCACATTCTTCACATTTGCAAGGTTTCTGTCCAGTATGAATCAGTGTATGTTGAGTAAGATTTGAACGAGT